CTTTTTACCCATCGCATCTCCAACTAATGACCAATTCTTTTGAAACCTTCCTCTCGGTTTGTTTGCATTCTAGGTAGATCAGTGGCTATTACAGTCTTTTTTTTTTTGAATTTCCAGGAGGTTTGGGCCGAGACCCTAATCTCTCAGATCCGCAACCACAGCATGTACTATTAGTTCCGTCCCAGCGGTCAATTACAGTCTTAATTATTCCTATACGTCTGGATAAAGCTGGATGACTTTTAACTGAAGTGCTACAAAATTGCTTTCAAGGAAATAGGTATAATAGAGTTCATGACTGCTGCAAGGAAATGAGTATATACCTTACTTCCAAAACATAAGTCACATCCATTTGAATTGAATCTAGATGTATATTGTTCTTTTATAATCTTAGATGAGCTTTGTTTCTTTTTATATTGCCGGTCCTATATGGTAGATGGTACCTGGAAGATTCATCAAAGTGTATATGCAACAAACGATTGGTTGCATTTCGAGCCAAGTACATTCACTACATAACACTTCCATTATAGTATTCAATTTAATGGTCTACCTAACTTGTAGTATTTTCCAATCCTTAACGTTATGTTTCCACAGTTTATTCTCCCATGGATTAGTCCAACTATTTCGCATCCCTAGCATGGAAAAATGTAAGCCATCTCTTTCAATATTATTCTTATAATTAGTTGATAGAGTGTGTAACTTAGTAATGGTTTTTTAAAAAAAGAAAAAAAAGATGTGAGATCGTTCTCAGTATTTGTAAAGCTTCAGTCACTAATCCTACTCTCATTGCAAGGTTTTACAGGTGGATGTAACTGATATGGTGGAATGTCACTCTTCATATCTATGGAGAACTCAACAAATCCTAGAGAGACTCGAAATGGACACTTAATACTCTGTTTCGAGACACTTTCTAAACGAGTAAACCACATTAGATACGTATCACATTTCACCAAACCTTACATGTTCAACATTTTTCGACGCCGGCGAAAGACGAGAGCTTCTGTTTTATAATTTATTTGTAGGAAACGTCTTCGTGCTGAATAATCGAATGTCTTCATTGAACTTTCTTGTTTCCTGTTATTATGAAAAGGTCAAAAGGTTGATCGATTCTCTGACGACTGTATTACAAGGAAATGGATAAAAGGTTTCGAGCCTTTCTTTTCCGAGCCCATATTAATTTATTGGTTGCAAGTTGTATAAGTTTAGAATATGGTTAATACTTCGCTCGTTTTATTTTATTTCTCAGTTTAAGTTCATACACATAGATTAAGAAAAATATTTAATTTTATATATTTTTTAAATAAAAATATTATTACCTTATAAATCTAACTACATTTACAAATAAAAAATAAAATAACATATATTAAAATTATAAAATAATATTTATTTTAAAATAAAAATTTTACTCTACACCAACAACTAAAATAAAACGGAAGAAATATGTTATAAATATTATTCCCTTTATTTTAAGTTAATAATATTTTCAGTTCTACACATATATTAAAAACAACCTAAAATTTTAGTTATATAGTAGTAGTATATATTATGATTAGCAATTTTAATAAAAATTAAACTATTAGCAATTCCATATATTCAGCTTTAATAAAACTACAATTTATCATCATTAACTAATAAAAATATATAGAAAACTACTACAAAATATTTTCTAATATTTCTCTTTAGAAAAAATGTCTAAATATATATGTTTCCAACTTCCCATCATCACAATTTAATGGTAATAAATTCAGCGTTGACAACTCATTGAGTTTGCTTTAAATTTATTTATTAGTTTTTGCGTTTCCGTGACAAAAACCTGTCCTGTGGACAGACAACTATTTACTTTCCGGTTTTAATTTTTTCAACGTTTTGTAATATGCCGCTCGAGCCAAAATTATACTATAAACTTTGTTTTACCCTCTGGAGTTGATGGAAGCAAGGCGCAATGTTTTTGTACATAAATAGAAAAATGGTGGTAATACCTTCTTCTCTTTTTAACAGATAAGTGATCTTGCGGATGATTACAAAATGAAAAATCTAAGTTGAAATTAAAAATCTTTAGCCTCTCAAGTATATTACGCCATCTCTTTCTCTCGTTCTATACAGTATGGCAAATGCATAATTCATTCAGTAGATGATGAAAAAAGAATCGTTTTCAAGTGTATATTTAACAAATTATTCTCAATAAGGGTGTCAGATCGCTTTCAATCAAACAATAATTGAAAGATGAACAATGATTTTCAGATTGGTGTAAGAAGGTTTGATGATCATCAGTGTAGAAAAAAAAATGTAAGAGCTAGTCATTAATAACACATTCACCTCTCGATCTCAACATTACAGGTAACTATGTGAACAATATGGTGGAAGTCACTCCTCGTATATATATGGACAACTTAGCAAATCGTATATCGACAAAAACGTAGGTATAGTGATTTTATGTAAGCAATTCAGACTACAAATTTGACAATCATTAGATCTCTCCTCATATTTTTTTATATTCCATTTATTAATTACTCATGTCTTACAAGTTACAACGATTGATGTGAGATTCTAACATAATCGTATACCACAATACTAGAAATAAAGGACGTTCTGCCTGCACATTTATTTATATCATGTTCGCATTTATTTGTATCATGTTCACATGTTCGGAATTACAGTACACTCGAGGACATTAAGGCCTTCTTTTATTTTGTTTGTTAATAATCATCGTCTTTGTTTGAACGTTCGTCAACGACGGCGAAAGACGACAACTTATGCGTTGTTATTATTTCGCAACGTCGTTGTCGTGCTGAATCCACCACCACATATTACTGGTTTCTCCGACCATGCTGGTGTTTCTTAGCTACCATTCTTGTTTCTTTTTCTACTAAAAAAATGTCAAAACTGAAAAATGAAAATGTGGATTCTGATGTTTGTCGTCTTCATGTCTGAAAGAAGTTCACGACTTTTTTTTCTTTTGAGGTGATCATGTTAATTACTTTTTTTTTTTTGTGAACAAAGTTAATTACTATTTTTGAACCGGGTTACCATGCTAAAATAACAAAAAATTATTCCATTATGTAGTAATAATATGTTTTGAAATTCTTCACCGCTTGTGATCCATCCAAGTGATCAGAAACGCTCAATGATAATTTATATAAAAACACAAGAGAATGTTTACAATTATAACCATGCATGGGCTCAACTTTTTCATAGATCTATTCCAATCCATTCATCAAATTGCATTTATTTCAAAACAATCTAAGTATTCATACCAATCAAAGGAAATGGGGTCGTCAGCTGACTGAATTGTCCCTACAATAAAAAGTAAAAATATGTATAAAATTGATTTTTAAAAGCCAAAATAAGCGCAAATGTCAGTTTTTTTGGTATATTGCTATAACAGTATGACTTGAATAGTTGATGGGTCGAGAAGCTGTCTTCTCTAGAAGACAAATACAAACCCTACTCGAACCAACCTCTTTTGCAAAGATGTCACTTAAGATGGTTAAGCATTAACAATCGTTTGCTTAGAGCTAATTTTAGCGATGACAGCTCAATTCTTCACAACACATTGCTTGTCTGCAAAATTGTCATTTTCTTATGCTTCCAACACACACATAAAAGTGTCAAGGAGACAAGACACCCCTTGTTAGTTACAGGCTTTAATTGTGGAAATTTTATGTATTGGTCATATATATATTTTGCTTGGGACTATTCAGTACTGAGAATAATATATGCAATTACCTTTGTGATATTCGATAGTCCACGTATGGTACATACGTATGTGATTATGAATGTGCTACGTGTGTATCTACTACAAATCGAACGTATTTAAGTGATTTGTAATATTTTGCTTTCGTCAGTAGATGTAGTGATAAATTAAATAACTGTACTTGATACATTATGGCTGTTATATAATACTTATAGATAAGTATTGTATGTGTAAATATTTTAAAAGTGAATTATTTAATAATTAGAAGGTGACTTTGGGCTTTTAACACGCATATAATTTTGCAGGGTCAGCGTACTCGTGATTCACTGAATTATTAACATTATTCAAAATATGACATTATTTTAACTAACCAAATAAAATAATTATAATACTTCTATCCATTTTGTAAGAATGTCACTTTGACCTTTTTCACACAATCTTTTTAAAATGATTGCAATGTATTTGTATTTTATGAATTAACTAATAATATTTGGGATAAATAAAATTATTTATAAGATTAATAAATTTCGTAATTACTACCAAACTTAAAATAATTATAAATTACATTAAAATTCTAATGTAAGATTTTTGGTTTAACAAAAAAGTATCAAAATAATATTTTTTTGTGAAACAGAAGGAGTATGTATCTGAAAAGAAAAGATAGTTTTATGTTTGAGATGAGTTGATCCATGGCCTGAATTTACAAAGCAACTCCTCAGACGAAACTACTAAATCACAGAGTGTAGAATTTCTTTAACCTATTTTTTCTTTGTCAACTTGGTTTTTTTTTTTTGTCAACTTGGTTTTACCGGTTGCCAAACTCTTTGAAGTCATATTCTTTCTTTATTTTTTACCAGTTACAGTTCATTCAAGAATAAATCCCCACAAAACACTACAAGAAAGAGTAGTGATACCCGACGGCTGTATTTAACGGATATTTATCGGAAATGAGTGTTTCCGATTATATTTCGACAAGCTAAGTTTTTGTCGGCGTTTGGGTCTCGGAAACTCCCTTTATCGAAAGATTGTCGGTAATTTCCGATCACAATTATTGTCGGAAATACTTATCTCGGAACATACCGATAAATTTTCTGAGAAATCAATTCCTAGAGATTTCTGACAACTGAATATATTTAAATAAAAAAAATAAAAATTAAATTTTGTAAAACTAATATTCAAAATCATCAAATATTTATTGCATGAAAATTAAATATATAATTTAAAACAAAGAAAACTAAACAAAAGAACTAATTCTATTATTAACAACGAATTGTTGACAAAAAAAAAAACAACGAATTCGATGGAGATGATGGTGTACGGTGCAATGGAGGCCGTGAATCCGGTGCTGGTGGATGTGAGTCAGCAATTGAAGTCGTGGCGTGGTGATGTAAAGAGTTACGGCGGCGGTTCTCTACAGCGGTGGTCATACAAAGAGTTACGGTGTAAGTGCTCTACGGCGGTGGTGATGCAAAGAGTTACGGCGGTGGTGATGCAAAGAGTTACGGCGGTGGTGCTCTGCGGCAGTGGTGATGCAAAGAATTATGGTGGCGGTGGCGGTGGCCGGTGGGGATGCAAAGGGTTACAGGAATTTCGGTGTAAGGAAGAGTAGCGGTCTACGGAGCGGTGGCGGTTCAAGGAGCAGTCGGAACAAGGAGCGGTGGTGGGGAGGAGAAGATCTGAAAACAGATCTAAAGAGACAGAGCTGGAAGAAAGAAAAAAAAGAAGCGGAGAAAAAATAAAAGAACAAAGGAAAGAGATGGACAAATTATGTAACTCTTTTTCTTGACTTTCGTTTATAGATAAAAACTTAGAGAAAATAAAAGTGTAAAAGTAAAAGATTATCTAATTATTCTTGGCCATTCATTTATAGATAAGTTATGATATAAAAAGTCTTTATGCCAAAACACAACCGTTTTGCTAAAATGATTTTCATCGTTGTCAAAACTGTCCGATGATTTTCTGTCAAAACTTCGACAAATTTCCAGGAATCATCCATTGTCTGTAATCTCTGAGAGAAGACTAATGAGTTTCCGATTAATATCTTGGTTGTTATTTTCTCGGAAAGGATTCAGTCTAAGCGTGAGAACTAGGACGATTTTCTGACGCTTTACCGAGAATAAATTTGGCCTTACCGAGACGTTACCGACAAAATCTGTTTTATCAGAAAGAATTTTATTTTTGACAAGATACCGACAATTCATTCCAGGAAATAACCGAGAAACTTGATTTATCGGAAAGTTCCAAGAATCTTCCGACGAAATCTGCATGTTCTCGGAACGTTGATGCAACTGTGTCACAAATTTTCCGACAAAATAAATTATCGGTACTCATCATCGGAGTATGCAATGCTTTCTTGTAGTGAAAGAAAAGGAAAATCGAAACAAAGAGCCATTTTATGTTTTCATCCAAAACACACATAAATTGATACATACATATAATAACATCCACACATCTTTCAGTGCTACTTTTGGCTTTCCACACCCAACCAGAGACCAACCCCCTCTCCTTTTGTTACACCCTCCACGTGCTACGAACCATAACTTAAACATCACAAAGCAGGCGTGTGGTAGGCACGGCGAAAAGACGTGTAGCTTTAGGAGCCGTGAGACCAAACACATCGTCCATGTCAAGCTCGCTAGGTTTCATCCCATCAGGTAATTTCCACGTGAAGCAATGTAATATATGAGCAACGGCTAACTCAAGCGCATATAACCCAAGTTGCATACCCGGGCATGATCTACGACCCGACCCGAATGGTATAAACTCGAAGTTACTTCCTTTAAAATCCGCTACTCCAGGTTCCAAAAACCTCGAGGGTCTAAACGTTTCGGCGTCAGGCCAAGATTTAGGGTCACGTCCAATCGCAAACGCGTTGATCATAACGCGTGATTTCTTGGGTACGAAGTAACCGTCGATCTCAGTGTCCTCTGCGGTTTCGTGGAGGAGGAGTGGGATCGGTGGGTGTAGCCTTAGGGTTTCTTTGAGTGTGCATTTCAGAAAAGTCAACTTCTCGATGTCTGATTCTTCCACACGTCGGTCAACTCCGACAACTTCGGCTAGTTCTTGTTGGACCCGTTTTAGATCCTCGGGGCTCCGTAATAACTCCGTTAATGCCCACTCTATCGCCGACGCTACCGTTTCCGTTCCTCCGAACATGACGTCCTATTAAATACAATAAATCATTAAAAATTAGGTTTTAGATATAAGACTCCCTCCGTTTCATATTAAGTGTTGTTTAGAGAATTTTTTTGGTTACGAAAAAATTGTTGTTTTCGATTTTGAATGTAAAATTTATTAATTTTATTCTGCAGTCTATTTTTCTATTGGTTGATATATAGTTAGGTGTATAGGTAATTATGTTTTTATATGGAACGTATGCAAAATTAATGATTTTCTTAATCTGTGTGTATAAACCTAAAACGATACTTATAATGAAACAGAGGGAGTATGTTTTATTGTTGTTTAAGCAAAAAAAAAAAAGTTAGGTTTCAAATGTAAATGTAAATATAAATATAAATAAGTCTTATATTTTAGGTATTTTCTGAAACTTTATATTTTTATTTTCTACTATCAGTAAATGACGTTATTTTCCCCTAATGCTTACGCAAGATCTCTAATATCATATGGACTGCTTGTAGAAACAGAAAGTTACCTTCCTGATTTAGACAAAAATACATAAAGAGAGACAAGTGGTTTGATGGATAAGTTTTATGGCAAAACGCATTAAGAGTCATGACTATTACCATGATGATTGCTTTGATATTGTCACGGGTAAGTTTGATGGAATTTTGAAGATCAGTTGTCTCGCTCACTAACTTCGCCTCTTCACTGTAAAAAGCAAGAAGATCATCAACCATGTCGGTATCAACAACATCTCCATCATCAACAGTGTTTTGATTCTCTTTCTTCTTCATATGTTCATCGATGATATCATCAATAAATCCGTCTAGATCATTACGGGCCTTCACGAGCCTCTTGTTTATCCCTTGTGGATCGATCCACCCAAAATATGGTATGAAATCCGCTACGTTAAAGGCTCCAAAAAGCTTAGAGAACTCTTGCAAGATTCTTATGAACTCGTCTTGTCCCTTTTCACATGCTGACCCAAACGCTGCCCGGTAAGTTATGTTTCGGGTCAGCGCGAAAATTTGCTCCCCGACGTTGATAGGCTTACCTACAATATATTTGGTTAGAGCATCCGAAATGAGAGTCTTTAAGGGAGAATCTTTACAGGAAAAATAATTAAATAATCAATAGAACCACCAAAAATTAAGGATTCAATCTTTAAAATTCCTAAATAATGATTCTTACTTAATAAATCTTTACACTATTTGCGGGCTCTTACAATACGTGGTGATCCACAATTGATTACTTTTTTATTTTTATTTTAATATCTTAAAAAGAAAAAAAAATAATAATTAAAAAATCAAAATCTAAGAACTCCCAGGGTAAGAATGTTTTTCGACAATTAAAATACATATAAAAGAGAGAAAATGTTTTTTTTTTGTTTTTTAATTTTTACATATTTTAATCGCACATAGCTTACTTACCAACGTTACTAGATACCGACCGGATCATTTTGTCAACTTCATCTCGAACAGAAGCCCATGACTCGGCACGTTTACGGCTAAACACTTTCATAACACACACTTTCCGCATCTGTCTCCAAAACGGTCCGTAGTGAGCAAAAGCCATGTCGGCTCGGTCATAAGTCAAATAGCTAATAGCTATCGTTGCCGGCCGGTTCGAGAAGATGCTGTCTTGGACTTGGAGGACTTGTCGAGCCACGTCAGGTGAAGAGACGGCGTACATGTGGAGGAAGCCCATGCGGAGATGGCACAAGCCACCGTATTTTTTGGCTAAGTTGGCTAAACCACGGTGGGTAAGTTGGTCCATCATTAACATATTGCCTATGATGGGCCAACCACGTGGACCCGGTGGGTACGGAGACCTTCGCCGTCGTGTGATGAGGCCGATGAATATGAAAAGTGAGACGACGATGAGAATAGCTGTCGTGGGATCTAATAGTTGGCTTAGTGTTTGTGATACAGAAGACTCCATATTAATTTTTATTTTACTTTTCTTTGTAAGAGGCCTATCACGCAAAGTTCGCCATTTTGGGATGTGATTAGAGAGGTGGGTTTTATAATAAAAGTGAGGTCCCATTTAGTGACATATCTCTATTAATCTAGTGGGACTTAATTTTTTCAATTCACGTGTGTAAACACCTTATTTTTTATATGGAAATATAGTAGAATCTCCATAAATTAATATTTGATAAATTAATAATATCTTTAAATTAATAAATTTCATTGGTCTCAATTTGGACCTGTGCAAAATTTAATATAAATAAATAAAATAAATAAAATAATAACATGTTTTAGAATAAGAATCTATCATTATATGTATAGTTATTAAAATTATAAATTAATAATTTATATGTATAGTTATTTTATATAAATAAGAATCTATCATTATATTTTATGTTCAGAATAAAATTATATTTATATTTACATAACACTTACGAAAATTTTAATGAGACTTAGTAATATTATATCTAAAATCACATTTAAAAAATATGCAATATATATTATATACAACAAATAATATAATAAAATTAATACATATGTCAAATTTCAAAAAGATAATAATTAATGTCTATAATCTAAAAATCAAATATTTTTCTTATTTTAGAATAAATATATCTTAAATAAAAAAAATCTAAATAAGGAAACTGTTGTAAATTACTATCTCTGTTAATCTATAAGATTCAAAAGTCCCAACATTATTAATTTATAAAAGTTCTACTACATATATGAGAACTATTATTGGTTTTTACTAGTGTATTTTATATTAGTGGACTGGTGGAACTTTAAAGAACACTGTTGGAAGATGAATATAAGGGACTGTTTTGCTCTAATATTTGATGATCTAATTCATTATTTTCTCTAACACATAGTTGTGTTAAATTAGATATAATCAATTAGTAAACAAACAATTAAGTTTTAAGAAAATTTAAGCTAACAATCATCATCTATATATATGTCACTAGGAATTTTCTATACCATGCACAGAAATAATAATTTAAAGACAATATTTTTTTATTTTAAAATGAAATTTTAGTTTACATTATGACCATAAATGTATTTGGTATAGTTCACTGGTTTGAAAAAGTAAAACCATAAATGTATTTTGTATAGTTCATTTCTTTTGATTTAACTATTTTAGTTTTATTTTGTTAAAATTTCAATATAGTTAAAATTACATTTTATAAAAATATTTTATATTTACGTTATATTTGATTATTATATATTTTAAGTATGTCTCTTATTATTTAGTTTAAAATATACCTTTATTAAAATAGATATAAGTTCTAATAGTTTTAAATTGCATTTATTTTAACTAAAATGTGTTAAATTGGTAAAACTCAATATGTTAATTACCCTTCTTACCGGTAAACTGTACACCTACAGTTTATTTTGATAAAATAAATAAATTTATTTATGATGATTATTATTTAAAGTATTTATTTTACTCCTTAGTTTTAAATATATCATTATTTAATATATATATATATATATTATAATTTTAAAATTCTTCTTTGTTTTG